ATGTGGGATAAGATGTGTTAGCAGATGGAGGACGGTTCCTGCCAAAATTCCTCAACTAAGTTGCCCAATGAAGGTTCTGTGCAGGTGCTGAAGCCATTTATGTGATGCACAGAGATGACAAAGAATTTGAATTTCCAACAGCAATCAAAGGAAAAATGGAGGTGTCATGAAGTGAGAAACAAGAGACTGAGCAGAATAGGTCAAGAGAGGAGGAGATAGAAGAGTGTGGCCGTGTAGTCCAGAAGGAAGAAGACCAACAGCAAACTGAGGCAGCAGAAGAAAACCCCGAGGGAAAGGAAAATGAGGAAACTCACTGGAGCAGGGTGACAGATGCAGAAGACCTAGAAAACACTCTGCACGCCTGGAAGCAGTGGAACTCTCGAACCACTTCGAGTTGCTTGAGAAAGAGACGTGTGAGAAACCCCCTGTGAAAGACCTGCATGACACACTGGATAACTCTTTTTCAGAGACTAAAGGCCAATCAAAAAAGGAAAAGGACAGCAAAATTTGCAACAAAGGGAGAAGAGTGCTGGTTGTGGGAGATTCCCTTTTGCACAGAATGGAAAAATATGTATGTCATGATGACCCAGAGAATCGCCAAGTGTGCTTCTCCCCAATGCCAAGGTTAAAGATTTGGATGCTGGGACCATAAGCTAAGCTTCCTGGAAGATGGACTACTGGCAAATGAAGGGCTGCATCTCACAAAGAACGGGAAGCAGATGTTTGGCAAATATATGAAAAACTTCATCAGGAGAGCTTTAAACTAAAACCTACAGGGGTGGGAGATGTGCAGCATGGCATGCCATCACTTGGCAAAGACTTAAACATTTCAACGGAGAAAAAACCTCAAGGAGGGCCCAAAATCAGTCTCCCAAAAAACCTAGAAAGAAAACCGGGCACAGCAAGAATGAACTTCAGTGTCTCTACACCAATGTCCAGAGTATGGGAAACAAACAACACAAACTTGAACTGAAGTACATGAGGGCAATTATGATCTTATAGGAATAACGGAAACTTGGCAGGATGATTCACGTGACTACAACTCCACAATTCATGCATACAACCTGTTCAAGAAAAACAGAAAGAACAAACAGGGAGGTGGATTTGCACTATACATAAAAGACACATATATCTGCACAGAATACAAGAAGTGCCTTAAGGGGAAAGGAGTCCAAGAGGGGTGGGGAATCTTGAAAAAGATTTTCAAAGCACAACTATGAACAATTCCATCAAGAAAAAAGTGTAGAAGACAGCAGAGGAAGCCCATGTGGCTCCACAAAAAGTTAAATGATAGCCTGAAACAAAAACAAACAAACAAAAAGAACATGTAGAGCAAGTCAAAGCAGGGTTGGGCCATGAAAGAAGAATATAAACAAATAGCAAGGAATTGCAGGAACAGCTCAGGAAGGCTAAAGCAGGAAATGAACTGAGATTAGCAAGGGATGCTAGAAAGCCTTCTTCAGATACATCCAGAACAAAAGAAGAAGCACAAGCTGGAAGTGAGGGATGGCAGCCAAGATTGACAGACAAATGGTCAAGGAATAAACAAATCTCCAGGACCCGATGAACTCCATCCAAGAGTCATAAAAGAGCTAGTGGAGGATCTCTCAGAATCACTGGCTATCATCTTCGATAAATCTTGGAAAACAGGAGATGTGCCAGATGACTGGAGAAGGGATAACATTGTCCCTATTTTCAAAAAGGGGGAAAAGATGAACCTGCGGACTATAGACATCAATCCTTGGGAAAAGCTTGGAGCAAATTATTTAAAAATCCATTTGCAAGCATCTTGAAGAAAATACAGTGATTAATAGAAGCCAACATGGATTTATCAAAAATAAATTCTGTCAGACTAATTTAATCTAATTTTTTGACTGGGTAACCTCCCAAATGGACAAAGGGAATACTGAGGACACAATCCACTTAGACTTGAGCAAAGCTTTCGACATAGTGCCACACAACATTCTGGAGCAAATTAGCAAAAGCTGGACTAGATGGAAAAACTGTTAGGTGGAATCAAAATTGGCTCCTAAATCAGAGTGCTCATCAATGGCACCTTCTCCAATTCAATGGAGGTAACTAGAGGGGTGCCACAGGGTTCAGTCCTGGGCCCAGCGCTCTTCAACATCATTATTAATGACTTTGATGAGGAAGTACAAGGAAAGAAAATCAAATTTGCTGACAATACAATACTGGGTGGAATACCAAACACCCTAGAAGACAGAATGAAGATCCAGGATGATCTTGATAAAGTTGAATGCTGGGCTGAAAGCAACAGAATGAGATTCAATAAGGACAAGTGCCAAGTTCTCCACCTAGGAAAAATAAACCAAAAGCATCGATAGAAGATGGGGAATATGTGGCTCAACAGAACTGAACAAGAAAAAGATCTTGGAGTAATTGTGGACACTAGGCTAAACATGAGCCAACAATGCGATGCAACTGCCAAAAGGCAAATGCTATTTTGGGATGCATTAACAGAAGTATTACTTTCAAATCATGAGAAGAAGTAGCAGTTCCTCTATACTTCTCACTAGTCAGACCTCACCTGGAATACTGTGTCCAGTTCTGGGCACCAAGATTTTAAAAAGATGCAGGTAAATTAGAAAGGGTCAAGCAGAGGGCAGCAAAAATGATCCAGGATTTGGAAACACTGCCCTATGAGGACAGACTGAGGGAACTGAGCATGTTCAGCCTGAGAAGCCTGAGGAAAACATTATATCCCTGTATAAGTACTCAAAGGCTGTGACCAGGAGAAAGGTCAAGATCTCTTCTTGCTGATGCCAGAGTGTAGGACACAGAATAATCAATTCAAGTTGTGACAACTCAGATTGAGGCTAGACATCAGGAAAAGCTTCCTCACTGTCAGAGCAATACTGCAGTGGAACCAGCTGCCTCGAGAACTGGTGGGCTCTCCTACACTAGAGACATTCAAAAAGAAACTGGACAGCCATCTGAGTGGGATAGTGTAACCTGGTGTCCTACAACAGCAGGGGGTTGGGCTCTATGGCCTTCATGGCCCCTTCCAACTCTACTATTCTATGATTCAATGATTGTTACATATTAATAGACATTAATTAATGGCCAACGTTCTCAAGCATGAATAGGAAATAAGGGAAATTAGATAGATTAGGATAAGGAAACCATGCAGTGCCTTGAAGGTGAAGATGAGGAGTTGGTATTAGGTATATAAGGTGTGTGAATCCATTATGAAGAACACCGTTACATGACTCCTGCAATGAGGTTTTGGTAACAGAATCTTGGATAGGGCTGAGAGGTTGTATGGTGCAGAAAGGCCACAGAAAAGGTTGAAGTGGTTTTGGTAGATTGCAGGAGTGTATGAACCGGTGTTTCAGTGAAGAGAATTGAGAGGAAGAGGTGAGAAATCAAATGTACTAAAGAAAGAAACAACATGACTTGCTTATGTGTTGAATATATGGAGAAAAGAAATCAAAGATAAAGTTAAGGCTGTATGTCCCGTCAACAAGATGGTTGATGACTTTATGAACAGCAGAAAAGATCGTCTGGAGGAAGGATTGTGATACATGACATGGTTGGGAAGAAGAAAAAATTCTTCCCACGAAGCTTGGAAACAGACTTTCTACTGCCTAAGTTGAATCTGTCAGTCAGGGCTTTTCTATACAAGGCATCGATTGTGCACTCTTGACTCTTCATTCCTGGAAGTTTCTGGGTCCTGTACACAATGTTGCTGTCCTCCAAGGGCTTCTCACATATTTTCCAGCCTTTTTTCACACCTTTCTTTAGAAGCAATGATAATACAGTTTTTTCCTAATGCTCTATCCCACTACACCACCTTATTTTGTGCATTAGAAGCAGAGAGGAAAACCCCAAGGAAAAATAACCTTCTGTAAAAGGACGTTCTTCCTCCCACAAAGAAAAAGGAAGAATCTTTGGTAAAGTACCAGGTTAAATGTCTCATGTAGATAATTCCTCAGTCTCCAGGCTGGATTCAAAGGGCTATTGCCAATCTTTATGGCTAGGAACAGTCTACCCAAAGGGGTGCCTTCTCCCTTTTGCTACTGCCTGACTGTTAAGCTCATCTTCAGAAGCTTTTACCAGGCTATTTATCAATTGTGCACCAGATGCCTTCGCTGTTGTGGACTACAATGCTATTTCCAGGGAGATCTGTGAAGCTTAAATGAAACTTAATTCAGACAAAACAGTAGTATTTTTGTCAGACAAAATGCAAATCAAGCATCAGGAATCCTTGGACTCCCTGAACTCGGATGCCCAAATTTTGACTGTGGCCAGGAGTGCAACTGTGCAGTTGAAGGTAGTGTGCAAACTGTGTTCATTCTTAGAGATGTCAGAGTTGGCCACGGCCACCCTTCCCTTAGTTATCACCCATTTGGATGACCGTTACATGCTTCATGTAGCACTGCCTTTACAGCTGAGGGGGAAGTCAGATCAAAGCTATTTCAATATCTTGTCCAGTACCAGGCACATTTATTTACAGGGTACTTCAGAGCATCGGGTAAAGGTGTTGCTGGTTTTTAAAACAAAGCAGGGGTTCACACTAACTTTGCATTCTTCTTAGGTTATGCCAAGATCTCTGATGTACAGAAACCAGGGGTCCCCTTCTCTCGTAGGGGTAGGATGCAAAACAGTGGAGGTTGTAGAGCAGCACCAGGCTATTTCAGAACATCCGGTCAGGCTCGGCTACTCCAGCCGCCTCGTCCTGCGCGTTCCTCCGTGGCCCATCCGAAGGGGAGCTCGAAGCCGCTCTACCTGCCCCGTGCTCTTCCCAGGTCCGAGCGCATGCAAAGTGCTTCTAAAAGTGCATTAGCCCGACCTTTTCTTGACAGGCAGCCTCCCTGCCTGCTCGGAGGAGGGCTGGGCCGCCCTCCAGAAACGGGAAAAGCCCAGCACTCTTTCCCTGTTCAGCGCCTGCCCGATCTCAGAGGCGGGCCGTGATCGCCTTTCGTCGACGGTCCCTTTCCCCTTCCGGGTGGAGAGGGGACCGTGTTATGGCGGCGGCCTTTGGGTTCGGGCGGCTGTCGCTGCTGCTGATGGTCGCGGGGCTTCTCGGGAGGGTTATGCACGCCGCGCAGCCCCGGCCGCCTGCGCAGGATGCCGAGTTTACGTTCCTGCTGCCGGCCGGGAAGAAAGAGTGCTTCTATCAGGTCGCGCTGGGCAATGGCTCCATGGAGATCGAGTACCAGGTGGGGATGGGATTCCAGAGGCTATGCAGATCCCGTACGGGCTATCGACCCCTCATCTTTGTCTTTGTGCCCGATGGTGGGAAGTAGCAGTGTGGGGCCGAAGCTGAGGTAGCAACAGCTTTCCGTGGCAGCATAGTACAGAATGATCAACAAAATTCCTGTGTGCAGGGGAAAAGTTTCAGCCTTCGCGAACCTGGTGACCGTCAGATGTATTGAATTGCAACTTCCATAATTCCTGACATGGCCAGTGAGTGGGACTTGAACGCTAACTCTTCATGGAAAACTATTAGTCTAACAAAAATCAGTGTTCTGTCACTTCTGTTCTCAACTAGCCCATGAATTTGATGGGACTTCTAAGCTATTATCTCCCCAAGGCTAACCTCCATGTTTGTTAGGTTTGTATCTTAAAGAACATACGAAACTGCTTTTCTTATAACATGGAAAACTCAGTCCATCTAATCCAGCATTGTCAACACTGTCAGTGGCTTTTGTAGGTTTCAGGCAAGAGTCTTTCCTTGTCTTATTTATCTGGAGATAAAGGGGAATTGAACCTGGAATCTTCAGCACACAAAGCATTAAGAGCTGTGCCTTGTCCTTCAGTCACACAGTGGCTGTGTATTCTGACAACTAAATAAAAACAGAGGATCTTGTCTCCAGTTTATTTAATTTTAAACAAGGTTTGCATGCATTTCTTAGAATCATAGAATAGTAGAGTTGGAAGGGGCCAAGAAGGCCATCGAGTCCAACCCCCTGCTGTTGCAGGACACCAATTTACACCATCCTGCTCAGATGCCTGCCTAGTTTCTTTTTGAATGTCTCTAGTGTGAGAGAGCCCAGCACCTCTCTGGACAGCTGGTTTCACTGTTGTATTGCTCTGACAGCGAGGAAACTTTTCCTGATGTACAGCCTGAATCTGGGTTGTCATAACTTGAATCGATTATCCTGTGTCCTACACTCTGGCATCAGCAAGAAGAGATCTTGACCTTCCTCCTGATGATAGCATTTGAGGTACTTATAGAGGGATATCACATCCCCTCTCAGTCGTCTCTTCTCATGGCTGAACATGCCTCTTTCTCTCAGTCTCTCCTCATATAGCACTGTTTCCAAACCCTGGATCATTTTTGCTGCCCTCTCATTGCATCTAACTGACTTCACCAGGCATGGAAGTCTCCATCATGTATCCCTTGTTGTACCATTCAGGTTATTGGTGGGGCTGGGCTGGATGTTGACTTCTCTTTGGAGAGCCCTTCAAGCATTTTGCTCATCGATGAGTACCGGAGATCAGATGGGATGCACACGTGAGTAACATTACTTTGTTGTTTTGTTATTATCCCAAAGTTTACTCCACAGAACTGTAGGCAGAGACAGAAGTAATTTCATGCAGATAAGTTACTCCTTAACACTGATTAGGAACCCAGCTATTTCTGTGGTCTCTATAAGTTTTTACAGCCATGATTAGCATTCAGTAAGCACAGGATTCAGTTACTGGATTTCTGCAATCCTGGCTGGCTGAAACAGATTCCCCTCTCCCCCATATTAGCCTCCGCCTGGTGTATTGGGTATATTGGGAAGGCTGTGGTGAAGGGAAAAGAAGAGAGCCTGAAAATCAATAGAGGCATCTTCTGTAAGTGGAATGCTGCAGAATCTTGGATCCAGCTCTATATGCTTTAATCTTGTCTATAAACTACCTTAGATATTTTTATTAAAAAGCATAGATATAAAACTAGACTACAAATAGAAAGAACCATATTTTGTTTGCAGAAATGTATGTTTATTTTATCTATCCATATATATTTACATTTCATACTAGTCTCCTGCTTTTTTGTGGGTCATTGGTCTTCTATCTAGGGGGCTGTTTAGGCCCATACTCACTTCAGGAAAACGGCATTAGATGTTTCTTTACTTGGCTCAATTATTAAGTAGCTATAGAATAGGAAAAAGTAAAACAATGCTCACTGTTTCAGGTGATGATTCCAAATTTAGTTGGTGATTAGTACCCTGATAAAATTAACTCAACAAAAAGACACTGGTAAAACTTTTAGAGTTATCTGAGTATGTCAGCCAGCTTCTGGATGGGGTGACTATAACTCCTGTCATCCCCAGTTAGCATGGTTTTTGGCCATATTGGCTAAGCACCAGAATGGGGAAGGCTCGGTAGACGCTTTTTGTTTGGAGTTTCAAAAGACTTCGGAGGAATACCCTCACCAAAAACTCCTGAGTCATGGAGTAAGGGCAGGGGGTCTTTTATGGATGGCTAGCAGGAAGGAGAAAATAAGGGTAAATGAGCAGTTCTTGCATTGGAAGAATGGAAATAATGGTTGAACAATTTGGACATTTGTGTTTAAATGTGTTAATAAGCTGCAGTTAGGAGTGAGCAATGAAGAGGTCAAGCTTTCTGAAACCACAGAATTAATTAACATGGTTAAAATCAAACAATAATTGTAAAGGGTTCAAAAAATCTCCAGAATGAGCTAATGGGTATTAAAATTGTAAATGTGATTCATTGTTAAGCAAGTGTAAAACAATGCACATTGAAGCAAAAAAAAAAGAAGAAGAAAGAAACCTAAAAATCCATTGTGTTCAGGGTATGAGCTGGTACTGACTGACCAGGAAAGAAATCTCAGGGTTATGGTGGCTAGTTAATGAAAATGTCAGTACAGCATGCTGCTCTTCTGAAATGGCGATTTTCTCCCTTTATACATAAATCTATGGTATTACTTATTACACTGCATACTGTATTGGAGAAGATGCAGAAAAAGGGCAACTTTCCTATGTGGAAAGCTTAGTAGGTTGGGGGCTTGGAAACTTAGGAATAAAAGGAAGTCAAGAGCAACATGGTAGAGGTTTATAAAAATATGTGTGATCTGTTGAGAAAGTGGATAGAGAGAAGTTTTCCCCTTGCCTCATAATACTAGAATCAGGGATATTCTACTGAAAAAGAATAGTGGGAGATTCAGTACAGAAAAAAGGAGGTATTGCTTCATGCATTGTATAGCTGAACTGTGGAATTTGCTATCACAAGATGTAGTGATGGTCACCAACTTGTATAGCTTTAGAAGATTAGGAGTCACTAATTATGGCTATTAATTATCACATTACCACACAGAGAACTTTGACTGTTGGGTGGTGTAGAAAGTAAGTAAAAAGATGCTATTTACTTATTACTTACTATTTATTGCTATTTATTTACTACATTTAGTAGTATCTGCAGCAGCATGCCTCTGAATACCAGTTGCTGGAGAATGTGAGCAGGAGGGCACTTTTGTGTTTGTTGTGTTGTGTTGGTCAGCTTGGCTACTGTGAGAAAAGTGAGTTAGACTAGATAAGCCTTTGGTCTGAACAAGCTGGCTTCTTAAATTCATACAGGGTTCTGAGAATGTGTTAATAAATCTACAGATGCAGTAAAATAATGCATGGAAGGCACAGTTACAAAATGGGCAACACTGACTGTGTGAACAGAAATAGAGTTAAATAATATGAAGGCTTGCTGCTTGCTATTAAATGAACATAAGGATGTGCACTGAAGTGTGGAATGATTATATTAATCGTAATCATTCTTCTGAGGCCAGAATCAGGGCATGACAAGATTAATCTGAAATAAGTGTGATCTTGAGGGAACAAGGAAAGATATAGAAGAAATCCATAACTTGCCTGTGGACACTGACCTTTACAAATAGCAGAAATGCGAGTGGTATTTGTGTTTATTATGTGCAGCTGCAGCTTAAACTGTTATGAAGCTTGGCTAGTTCAGCTGAGGGGGAAAGAATGTACCTGTGTCATTTAAGTCTTGGCTTAGCCTCGTTTCTTTCCTTTGTCTTTAGCATTGAGCCTACTGAAGGGGGTGACTACAAGCTGTGCTTTGACAACACCTTCAGCACTATCTCAGAGAAGCTGGTGTTCTTTGAGCTAATCTTTGACAGCCCCCAGGAAGATGAGGATGTGAATAACTGGGCAGATGTGGCAGAACCAGAAGAAATGCTTGACATTAAGATAGAAGATATTAAGGTAGGCAAAGATACTAAGAAATTCTGAGTGCAGGCACACAGTGGCTTGTTTCAAATCTAATCATATGTCTGGTAGACCTGTTGAAATAAGGGACTTGTGTTAGCCATGACTAAGTTACCCCATTGATTTCAGTGTGTCTGTTTGGTGTATGATGGCATCTGGACACAATCTAGTAGAATTTTGCAGCATGCAATTTTTAAAATCACTGACGTTAGGCAGGGAATATAACAAGACTTTTCCAAGCCCCACAGAAACCTTACAAGGAAAGTGCTATCAGTAGCTCAAACAGCATGTCGAGGACCCAGTTGTCAGGGTCTCACAGTTGTCCAGATCCTTTTCTGGATCTTAATGCCTCATTTCTGAGTGTCCCATATATGGTCCCTGGAGCCTGGTCCCTACTGGAGAACCACTGGGTGAAAGTCAGCTAAGGGCCCAGTTGTGAAATGAGCCTTCCCAGAATGACTCTTAGTCTGTTCTGATAGCTTAACTAATGGCTGGAGAAATTGAGGGGGGGTTCATGTTTGTGGCTTCCCTGGTATTAGCAGGTATAGATTTATATGGTGATCTCCCCCAGATAGTCATTCAAACTTGCATCATCAATCAAAATCGATAACTTTGTCTCCCACCATTACTTGACCATTTCCATTACTGTTGCTTTTTTGCTCATCTGAGTCCAAAAGTATCTTATATATAGTAGACACCTTCTAATGCAACAGAAGGTGCATTATCATTATCATTATCATTATCATTATCATTATCATTATCATTATCAATTAATTTCCCAAAACTAGTTAAGTGACAAACTGCCTGGTCCTTTGCACCCTTACTAGAAAGGAAGGAATGCAATCAATATCCCAGGAGCCAGATAATATCAAGATTTACTACTTATTGCTTAATTTCTGATAATGAAAGTGGAATCTTCCTTTGATAAAACTCTTTACAATCCCCTATCTTTCCATACTTTGAAATCACATGTCCCTACACTTTTTGAAAAACACTGGATGAAACTGAAGGGGTAGCAAGGGTGAATACTTTGGTGTAAGAACAGCATGCTTCCTAACCCAAATTTCAAATATAGTTTGAAACTGTTCACGATATAACAATTTAAATGTGTGCCTCAGAAATGTCAGAGGAACCCCATCCACTTTGACAGACTGTAGAACTAATATCTGTTGGGACCGTCCAAGACAAAAGAAATCAAATGCTGTAATTGGCAGGCCTCATATTAAAGTAGGAGATTAGGGAAACCCCATCCTCCCAAAATTCTCAACTTAGATGATACATTTTTTCCTCAGCCATGGTTTAACATCAAGTGTGAATGTTGTCTCTGTCATAACAATAATTGTGCCCTTGGTATTGTAAGTGGCAAAGCTCTAAATAAAAACAATAAATGAGGGGAAATGATTGTTTTTACCACTGTTAACCAATTTATAATAGAGAGTCATCTTTTTCCATCTATGTAGATCTGCTGAAAGCAAATTCCAGACCCTATGCATTGTATTACATTTAAATTCTCAATTATTGTTACACCTAAATATTGACATTTAGAATAGGTGTCTGTTATCTCTAAGCATTTCACCACTTCAGATTTTTCCTTTGGAGGTACATTAAAACAAACATTACTTCTGATTTTCTAAAATTGACTTGTAGCCCAGCCACCTTCTGAAAGTTAAGTAATTCTGATTTCAGACTCTGTGATGCCCTATTCTATTGGGAGTGATTATAGTACCATATGCATATAGTACAAGTAGATAGGCTTTTTCTGCCACCTGTAGCCCTGGGATTGTCACATGCTGACAAGTTTCTCTGCCAGTGGTTCTGTCATCAGGGCAAACAAGAAAGGAGGGGAAAGAAGACAATCCTGTTTGTTCCACCCGGAAGAGCTATGTACTTTGAATCCATGTTTGTTCTCACTTTGACCCAACTATCTCAGCCCAACCTACCTCACAGGGTTGTTGTTGTGGGGATAAGATGGAGGAGGAGATGTAAGCTGCCTTGAGCCCTTTGTAGGAAAAAGGCAGGATATAAATTGAAAAATAAATAAAATAAAATAAATATCTCTTTTATTATATGAATCAATGTTGTGCTTAAACTCATTTTTTAATTAACGTAATTTAAAAAACCCTTTCTGCACTATCAAAAGCTTTAAATATATCTAACAAAAAAGCACCAGAGGAGTCTTATTAATTTTACTGCAATGCTACTTAACAGTTTGTAGATGGGATCCGAAAACTGTTGTCAGGGAACAAAACCAGCCTGATTTTTTATATATATGTACATCACAGTCATGAAGATCTAATAATCCACATTCAGTCATGTAATTGGTCTGTAAGATTTGACCAATGGGGGATCTTTAAAGGATTTTGGAATAGTTACTATTTTAGAATACTTCCAAATATGGGGTATAGGATCTCTATGAAGAATTTCATCAATCGTATGAGGAGTTATCAGTTCCCTGAAATGCTTAAAAAGGGAGGCAGAGAAACCATCTGGCCCAGGTGCCTTATTGCATTTCAGCTTCTTTAATACTTCAAGAATCTCCCCCAGCTCAGCCCTAGGCATCTAGCATTCCTCTGTCTGAAACAAACAATATTGGGAGAGAGTCCAAATATTCATCAATATCTGCAACTGAAGGAGGAAAGTCTACAATTTTGAATAGAAGCACCTGAACTCCTTACAAATTTGGGGACTTGAGTAACAGAGTCCCCCTTCTTTGCCTTGTAAGTCTGTTCTACCTTTTCTTTCATTTTCCTTAAATAATTCGCAGTAAGTCTTATGCCCTGTCCTCCATACTCGTTCCATTTTTGCTGCAGATAAATTAGATTAATTGAAGTCTTATCTAACTCAAGAACCTTTTCTCTTTTGGTCATACGATGTAAACATTTTTAAAGATCCTGACTGATTATATTTCTTACAGTATGCTTCTGCCTGTATTTGTTCCCTTTCGAGGGACAACCTCTTTTTAAAAGTACCCTTTTCCTTAATATTCCTCTTATTACCGCCTTCATAGCTTCCCACGGAAGCATAGAAGATCTATTTTTTCTGCAAAACAGTGAACTGAAGCCTGATGGATAGCTTCTCTGGCTGACTGATTACTCAGTAAAATGGGACTAAATGACCATGAAGGTGAATCAGACAAATCCATACTAACAGGGGCATGATCTGAGAACTAAACAAACCATATATCCATTTTGCTCACCAACTAAACAAAAAGGGGAAGATCAATAAATAGTCTATCCTTTACTGTGTTTGATGCCTTGTAGATTGGCAGGTGAAGCCTTTCTCTTAATTTCAAATCACCCTACAAATACTTTAGCCCTCACATCTCAAATCATCTTAGGAACTTCAGCTGCTCCTTAAAGTACTATACATTGCCCTGTAAGTGGGCTTCTTGTTTGCATTCATTACAATGAACTCAGACCCTATATATTCCAATTTAAATCTCCCCCCGAGTTCAGATTCCCTTCCATAAAGCCTCTCAACTTTTAAAATACTCAACCAAGGAACTTCATCTATACATTGCTTGGTGCATATATTGATCCCAGTAGTAGTCTTGTACCTTCAAACACATTTAACAAAGATAAACCTACTTTTTTCTACTTTGAAATCAAAATTTGTGTGTGATATAATGGCTAATCTGTTTGGTTTAATAGTCCCAGACATATTAAATTTTTGACTAAACGGGAGTTGTTTCAGAACCTCCTCTCCCTTTTTATCTTATGAATTCCTTGCAAAAGCAAGATTTGAGGATTAATTTTTTCTATAATAGTCTATAACTCTTATTTTTACTGCACCCACTAAACCATTTACGTTTAGTGTAATAGCCCTAACTGCAACCACATTTCTAACTTAAATATACCAAACCCCAAAAATGTATCTTTTAACCTTTATAACTTTCCCAATCTTTCCTTTTCTCTCCCCTTTCCCACCCAACAAACCCAGCAATTCTGAACCAGTGCACCCATTATCACAAACGTACTTCTGTGCCCTAAAGGCAATAGAAAATGCAGCCAATCTGGGCAGGAATGCCCGCTTAGGAGCATTCATGTCCTCAGGTGTGGGGGGAAATACTATGCATAATAAACATATGAACTCCTAAATTTAACACAAATTACACATTTATGCTTCCAAGCATTTTTAAAGTACACTGATTCTTAAAACATAAAAACATAGAAAACACAGAAACATAGTGAGTCAGAAGGGGCCTCCCAGGCCATCTTTTCTGACCCAAGGCTCCAGCTGGCTCCGCACATGACGTGCCTACAATTCGTAACACATCAGGGTATTCTCAGTTTCAACAATGGGGTATCAAAAATCAATTCATTGTCTCCAAACATTGTAGATTGAACTCTCACAAAACCCAGACTGTCTAGAGAGGCTATACAGTCAATGATTTCTGGAAGATAGATTGTAAATTCCTATCTGGTCTGAAGTGCAGGAGATGATTCTTCCAGCTTCCCTTTCTTTTCCTCCCTGTCTGGATCTTCCCACTATTTCTCATCCTGGTTTCAAGATGATACCTCCTTCTCCACTGTCTCCATCTTGATGTTCATTCTCTGGTGGATTAAAAGCATTTTATCTCCAGTGCTTTTAATACATTTGCTGCTTCCTTCTTGTTAGTAGCTGAAAATGTTGTATTCTCTTCTATCAAGTCGAAATAGAAAACCCCATGTATATCAAACCCCTGCTTTCTTCAATTTATTAGTATAAGGGCACAATTCTTTTCTCTTGCACAACAACTCAGGGGAAAGATTGGCTAATTGGCATACAACTCTTCCCAAGCAGCGAAACCCTTGAATAACCTCCTCTTTTTCTTAAACTGGACAAAACAAAGCATAGTGCCCCTAGGCTGGGCTGGTTCCCAATAATTCCTCATCAGTAAGCCTTATATGCATTGCCAAGCCCCCTTCATCTCAGTCTCAAGGCACCTCAAGGCATTAGGGATCTGCACCATTCAATTAAAAAAGGAACATCTCCACCTTCTACACTTCCTTTTACCCCTCCTATAGGCAAGTTAGACCTGTGCATTCTGCTCTCAGTTTGCTCCATCTTGTTCTTAACGTCCATGTTCTCTTTTCTAAGTTTACTCATTGCTTTAGCATGAGCAATGACCAGGTCCATAGCTTTAGAAACAGTTTCTGAGACTTCATCTAGTTTTGTTACAAAGAGGCTTCCTCCAGTTTTGTTACGAGAGTAGCCACCTTCTTTTCAAGGTAGCCATCAAAACTTTAAAAGTCTCCATCAGTGTCGTTTTTATCACCACAATTGCAGACCCACAGTTCCTGCGGCTGCAAACCCTCTCCCATGCTGTGCTCCATTTGAGTAAAAATCCCAGGAGTTGCTGCAGTTCTGATGCTGTAAAAACTCTTCAGTTCCTCTTATACCACAGAGGGCGGACATTTGCCACTTAAGCACTTTTACTATTCTTTCCAGTAGTGCAACCAGCTTGCATTTGTTGCATGTGTACACCAAGTTACTTTAGGCAGGAACACAAACTTTGCACGTACCTTACAGGTCACTACCGCTGAAGACTCTTTTCCATCCTTTGTATGCTATAGAAGAAAAAGGTCTTGAGCTGCTCAAAACCCAACTTCTCTGCTGCTTGTAGTTATCTCCTCAGAATTCCTCAGATGCAGGCAAAGATAAGAAGGTGGGAACCTTTTGGGATCCTATCTCCTATTCCCACCCACCATTCATCTCTTTTGAGTGGTACATGAGGAGCTGTATTAATTGCTTCTCATAGGTAGAAGACTAGTTTGTATTTGGAAGGGTAATGCTTGAAACTGGGGTTACCTTCTAGTTTCATTGCTGACAGTATTTTGTATCTGTGTAGTCACAAGACAGGCGCTCGCTTTTATTCTGTTTCAGCTTATGGTTTGCAATGAAATATTGCTGAAGGTGTGACCCGCCATGATGTTCACTACTGCCTTTCAGAGCCAACTGTGATGTTTCCAAATAACAAGTGAATTAATAAATACATTACTTTTTCTCAGATTTGAGTAGTAGTCTTCAGGCCCTGTTCTCTTTGTGCCAGAAAGGTACCAAAATCAGAGGGTAGAAGTTGCTATTCCAGATAAGAGTGACTAATGTCTGTTCTCTGGCACTGTGGAAGCCCTGACAGCGTTCCATCTTCTCCTGCCTACTTTTTGACATACTAAAAATACTTTGATGGTATATGTTTTACAGCTTGGAAGTGTGGGGCAAACTATAAAATCCAGGAATGCTAGCAAGCATTCTTTCAAGTAGAACTTCTACTTTAATGAAGAAAAACACAAGGATTACATCATTTTAAAACAGAAATAGGCATGTACTAATAGGGTGATCAGTAACTTTGACTTAGTACTGGAGGTACTTTTCATGCAAAATGCTTATCACTTTCATTGTATTGCAAATATATCAATCAGAAAGCAGAGTGGCCAGACTGTAGTTTCAGGACAAGTTTATTTTACATCATACAAAGGGAGTCTCCCCCACAGAGATAAAACCTAGTGTTCTTGAGGAGAGTCAGAGAAAGTGCCACCTATCTGGGGCTTCTCTTACAAACTATAGGTATGGCTGGAGGGGTGTTTCTGCACCTACTCAATTGGCAGACCAGGCTCCATATGGTGTCTCATTTTACACAGTATTTTCACAGCTTCAGTACAATGTTGAAGCAGTCAGGAAAGAAAACAGAAGAGGTGTTACTTTAATCTAACCAAGCTGTGAGTTTCACATAACTAGTTATGGTATTACATAAATAAAAACAGATTTGTCACAGTGTATCCCTGGGCAGGTGGTGTATGAATGCTTTTCATGGAGGTGGAAATAATTGCACTTGAGCTCAGCTGGAGGTGGTGACAATTTTGGGTGAAAAATAATGGTTCCTGAGCATCATCTGGGTGAGGAATTTGGCTCCATGTAATTTGAATTTGATTATGTTGAATCACATTTTCCAGGGCCATTTCCTCAAAATCCACCACCTGGCCTGGGTTGCAGTGGCATTTTTAAGTCATGGCACATGTCAGGTGCCATATGCTTAATTACTCACTGGGTGCAGCCTGGCAAATAAGTTTTAAAGAACTTGGGAGGTTTTGATTTCAAGAAGCCATGCTTCTGAGGTTTGGATGGCATATGCCTCATCTGGGTAATTAGGCAAATGTCTGGCATGAGGCATAGATTAAACAAGCCATTGTGGATTCTTGAAGCCATAGTGATCCTGTGAACCAGATCAGCACACACATTTTCATCTGACTTGGCAGCGAAGATGCTTCTCCTCATTTGACTGCTCTATTGTGCTTTGTATATTCGGTGGTACCCTGTATTATTCTGTCTGGTACAATGATAGGAAACCTTTTTATATTGAAGGCCACATTTCATTGGGAGGTATTCTGTCAGGTGTAGTAAAATGATGGCAGCAGGCAAGATCCAAGCCAGCAGTGGTAGGGCTGCCACCACTCTGCCTCTGGCACCCCTTTATCTGTTCCTTACCACCCATAGGACTGCTAAATGAGTTTAGTTTGCCTTTTCCAGAGGTTTAAGCTGATTGCTTGCAAAGAGCTTTTGAAATCATGCCAAGGGTGACATGTTGCCTCCTGATCTAGAAGAATAGATAAGCTACTAGAGTGTTCTCCTCTGTAAGCACTTTATTTCCTTTTACCCAACCACATGATCCCAATGTACCAAAGCTGGTAATCACTGAACAACCTTTGTTTTCACTACTCTAGGAATCTATTGAGACCATGAAAAGCCGCCTGGAGAGAAGCATCCAGATGCAGGCACTTCTACGAGCCTTTGAAGCCCGAGATCGAAATTTGCAGGAAAGCAACCTGAGCCGGGTCAACTTCTGGTCAGCTGTCAACCTCAGTGTGCTGCTGCTGGTGTCATTTCTTCAGGTGTATATGTTGAAAAGCCTCTTTGAGGACAAGAGGAGAGTCTGGACGTAGCAGCAAGAGAAACTGATCCCCTCTCCTTCCTGTGTGGGGCCAGGGATCCACACCCACATTGCCAATGCTCTGTACTGCCTAAAATAGGTGCCATGTCCTGTTCTCTTGACAGAACACATTAAAATATTACAGCCCAGATAAGCAAAGGTTTAGGGTGGGAACATGGAACATTTTATGTGGTGATGGAAAAGGGCAAGGTAGCAGCTTGTCAAAACTGAAAGCAGGAAAGAGGGCGTGGAAGAAAGGGAACGGTTGGCAGCAGCCAGCAAGCAAGACTAGTGGCTGATTTGTGTCTCATAAAGTCAATAACCCCTTCTTCTGTAGCGAAGGGTGGGGTGTCTCACTAAATATTTTGAGTTGCAACAGTACTTGTCCTGGGGCCTTCAACTCAGACATTCTACATTAGACCTCATCTATGTGTGCCTTAACTACCCCTGCCTCTCTGGCTACTTGCCTTTACTCTTTATTCTTGAATGTCCTTGCTGTAAGAGGTACCACAGTACTTCAGTCATTTAGCAAGTCCCCTGAGCAATTTTATCTCCACCCTCCACAGTTTTGTACTCCATTATCTCCAGTATGTCTATAATGTGGGGTATAGGAAACTGCGTAAATCTTTGTGCCAGTACTCACCAGTCAGTGAAAGATGGAATAGCCTGATACTGTTCTCAACTGGAGTGAGTATGCCCCAGTCCAAAATTCTGATTGCCAACAGACAATAAGCCAAATGTCAGAAGGTTGTTTGCCTGGAAAACTATGAGCTTTCAAAGACCAGCTCTTTAGATATCTTTAAATGTTACCTGTGAAGAACAGGCAAACTGATTTTAGAGAACTGATCTACATTATGTTGTATCCACTGTTTTTATTCATGTTGCACCCCTGCCCTTAACTTTATACATTCTTGGGGGCAGATTCCTTTTAGATTGGGGCTTTGTTCTTTTCTCGTAGTAGAGGTGTTCCGAGAGCATTGGGTACCCAGTTTCTAATAACATCTTTCAGACGTGCAGTCAGATCTCATTTCCCCCTTAAGTTCATAGTGTGCTTATGACTGCTCTTCTGGATCCAGACCTGACTTTTGGTAGCTGCATCCCAGAGTTGGTTGTTTTCCTGATCCCAGAGCAACTCTGCCTGTGCTGACGTATCTGAGGCTTTATTTGGATTTCATCACCTCAGAGAATGCCTGGCATTAATCTGAGGGGCTGATGGCACTGACCCCTTAGAATGAATCCAAAAGCGTCCTGTGGTTTAATGAATGGAACTTGCGGGCTCCTAGATCTGTTTGTTACCTGAGTTGGGTTTCATCAGGACATTTTGTTCCCTTGGAAGCATAATGTATGAGGAAGGCCTCATTGCATGTTTCCCCTTTGCTATCAGCAAAGAAGCTATGGAAGGTGCTATCAGAGAGAGACTGTGGTGGAAGCATGGGTCACCTAGGCCTTTGGGATTCATATTTTGTTTGGGGAATCAATGGCTTTTTGGGTCAGGTGACTTTAGGCTTGGCATCAAACACATCAGCATTGTAACAGCAGACACAGCGCAGGGGTGAAACCAGCATTCTAGGAAGTCACCAGCTGTCCTTTACTGCTTACCAGCTATGAAAGAGAAGACCATCATGAAACTGACTAAACTTGAGGTTAAAGTTTACTATTTAAAATAGGACATAGCACAGAACTGAGAGAAAACAAATAGTAAAAACAGCACATTCCTCTACTGGCCCACTCATAAGCAATGGAAGCTCCATTTAGTTCGACTGGGCTTTTTTTCTTTTTTTGAGTACATATAAAAAGGATAATTTCTTGTATTTTATGCAGCTATTCTCTCCTAGCATTTCAAAGAAACATGGCAGTCTTTATATTAGCGAAGTCAGGATATTTTCTTGTTCTTTTTTCCTGCAACACCTAATACTGAGTAATTCATTCAGGCTGCAATCCTGCATGTTTAGACAGAAAA